GTGTAGTGACTGGTGGTGTACAGGTGACATGCAGTCTTAAGGGACCTGGTGTAGTGACTGGTGTGTAACAGGTGACATGAAGTCTAAATGACCTGGTGGTGACTAGGGGTGTACAGGTGACATGCAGTCTAAATGACCTGGTGTAGTGATTGGTGGTGTGCAGTGACATGCAGTCTAAATGCCCTGGTGTAGTGACTGGTGGTGTACAGGTTACATGCAGTCTTAATTTGATCTGGTGTAGTGACGGGGTGGTGTACAGGTGACATGCAGTTTTAAATGACCTGGTGTAGTGACTGGTGGTGTACAGTGACATGCAGTCTAAATGACCTGGAGTAGTGACTGGGGGTATACAGGTGACATGCACCCTAAATGACCTGGTGTAGTGACTGGTGTGTACAGGTTACATGCAGTCGTAATGACTTGGTGTAGTGACTGGGGGTTGTACAGGTGACATGCAGTCTTATGACCTGTGCAGTGACTGGTGGTAAACAGGTGCCATGCAGTCTTAAAGACCTGGTGTAGTGACGGGTGGTGTACGGGTGACATGCAGTCTTAATGACCTGGTGAAAGTAGATAAGCTTTATACTTAATACTTTCACAAATTTTTCCATAATTTGACACACAATCAAACCTTTTGGAAAGTAACTGCCTTATTACACAGCAACACAAGCCAGCACTATCCTAAACAATGCTAAAAGTCATCAGTACTTAACTACAACATCAGGCCCTTAGCAAACACTATGATACCTCCTAGCACTCTTGAATCACAAAAGAAAACCCTTCTCCTGCATTATCTTACTGAGACCTGGCTTAAGCAGACACAATAGATTTCTACCCTCTACCAGGATACACAGCAATCCACAATCAGACCATACCAAGTTGGGGGTGGTATTGCAATCTATTACTCTAACCAATTACCTTGTATTAGCACCACTTCTTTAGTGATGAATATGAGAATACATTTTTGCTAATTTTTCGGGTAAAAAACCTTAAGACACCAATAACAATCGGTGCCATTTCCCGGGGATACCCCCACACAAACATCCCAAATTTCAGTGAGAAATTAAAGTCACTAATAACAAACAGACAAATGAAAAAGCGCCACCTTCTCTTAGCTGGAGACTTCAACATAAACCCTTTGGGCCTACTAGATGATCAGCCTGTAACTGATTTCATCAACAATATGAACAACACACTTTCTTCATACCAACAATAATAAACAACCAGGCTCACTGAAACAAGTGCAACAAAATAGACCACTATGGACCAATAAACAGCCCCCCTTAATCGGGGATAATCACAGATAGCACTACAGCCCCACCACCCTACCTTCCTTTTGACAAACATTAGTAAACCACCACTTGAATACAACAAATTTTCATTTAGACTCCATGATGAGGCCTCAATAAGGAAGTTCAGAGCTGACCTAGAGACTTTTGGGACTGGCCTACAGAATTCCCCCAAGGCCAATGGTACTGATGACTGGACAGCATTTTTTTTAAAAAATTACTTAGACTATACAACAAACATTGCCTATAAAAACGAAACAGATCACAAACAAACGGCTTGGTTTCCCATGGCTAACCAGCACCATTCTGAAATCCATTGATAAGAAACACCAATATGAAAAGCAATATAGACAGGGCTTAATACACAAAGATATTTTTAAAACACTATTCATCAGTCCTCACCAAAGTAATAAAGAAAGCCAAACAACTATACTACTCCAGTAGATTCACTGACACAAGAGGAATATAAAAAAGACCTGGAAAACACTCTCTCAGACTCTAGGGACCCACAAACTGAAAAAAAAACCCAAAAATATTGTCCTAACTAAACCTAATGAAACACCACTACATCCACTGACCAGCTAACCCAAAATAAACGACTTTTTCTCAACCAAAGGTTCTAATCTCGCCAATAAAATCCCACGTACCAATGCCCATGCCGGGGACTACCTAGATGGGAATTTCCCAAATTCCTTTTATCTTGCTCCAACTGAGCCCACGGAAGTCACCGAGATTATAAAGTCACTTAAAAATAACTCAGGGAATCTGTCTCATGTCCCACCATTATTGTACAAGAGAGTGGCCCATGTCCTCTCGCATGCTATCTCATTACTTTTTAACAAGTCACTAGAAACTAGCACCTTCCCGAAACTACCCAAAAAACGGCAAGGGTTTCACCAATACATAAAGGTGGTGACCTAACAAATTTAAACAACTATAGGCCAATACCAAACTTACCATTGCTATCCAAAATCTTTGAGAAACTCGTGCACAGGAGACCTAATTCCATTTTAATGGCACAAAACATACTCAACCCCTGCCAATTTGGATTCAGGAAAAATAAAAGCACTAATGATGCAAACATAAAAATGCAGATCGCTTTACACAGCATGGAAAATAAGGAATATCCACTAGGAATTTTTATTGACCTAAGAAAAGCTTTTGACCACAGTAGACCACGCATCCTACTCCACAAACTTGACCAATAAAGGTATAAAAGGCCATGCGCTTGCATATTTCAAATCTTACCTTACTAATAGGTATCAGTAAAGTCACCATAAAAGACACACATCAACAACACTGCCACTTGATACTGGAGTTCCGCAGGGAAGGTTCCTTGGTCCCCTGCTCTTCCTCATATACATCAATGATCTTCCAAACTTAACTCAACACCTGAACCCCATTCCCCTTTGCTGACGACATGACTTATGTCATCTCTCACCCTAAAACTGGCCACCCTCAACACCATTGTTAATGAGATGATCAAAATATCGACTTGGATGACAGCCAATAAACTTACGCTTTTAACATGACAAAACCTACTACATTATGTTTGGTAGCAGAGCAGGAGATGCACAAAATTAACATTAAGATCGACACACTCTAATTGCCAGGCATAATGAGGGCAATTCCTAGCCTATACCTTGACAACAACCTGAATTTCAGCACCCATATCCAACACATAACCAAAAAAGTATCCAAAACGGTTGGGACCTCTCCAAGATATGATACTACGTGCCGCAAACTCCCCTTCTCACACTATACCATTCACTTATATATCCAACCTCACCTATGCTATCTGTGCTTGGGGTTCAACTGCAGCAACACACCTAAGCCAATAAAAACCCCAACAAAAAGCCGCGTAAGAATAACCACTAAATCCCATCCCTGGCAACACCCCTCCCTCCCCCCACTCTTCTAGATCTAAACTTACTCCCTGTCAGTACATCCACACTTACTACTGTGAAAATCTACATCTACAGGACCTTAAATTCCAATTTTTAACCTTGACCTAAAATGCTTTCTTGATATTTGTGACAGAACCCACAGGCACAACACCAACACAAACTATGACATTCCCCTGTCCGACTAAACCTTTACAAAAATTCAGTGTATGTAAAAGGGCCCCTAAAATCTGGAACACCGAAACCTGAAAATTCTAAAACTGCAGACACATTCATCACCTTCAAAACTACCATCAGAAAACATCTTATCTCCCTGAAAACACCTTGTCAACTAATTACACGAATACCACCTGGTGGTTAACACTTACACTCACTCACCCATTTGACCATAAACAGAAAAAATCAATCTCAATCTCAAAATAAGAATCTTAACTAGTCATAAGTTGGCCTGTGATACTCCAATACTGAACTATGTATAGTGCCAAAACAAAAGCATTCACATTTCTGAACTCACAAACTAGTATTTAGTCACTTAGCCATAATACCAACTTACCCCATAATTTGTAATATTTTAAACTTAAGGTTTAATCTAAGTCTGCCCGAAATGCCTAGCATGCTAGGTGTTCTATGGTACACCTGTAATTTATTTACTACATGTAAACCACACAATAACCAAATTCTGTAAACTCAGCATTGTAATACTTATAGAGAATAAAATTTGAATTGAATTTTAATAGAATGGCCAACATGGGTTTAGTTTCATATTTAAAAAAGGGACCTGGATTATACTTTAAGGGTATTCCGCGGGTCAACGCCCCCTCTGCCCGGTCCATGACCAAGACTCGGGTGGATTAGGGCCTGATCAACCAGGGCTGTTACTGCTGGGCCAAAAGCAGACTTATGTATGAACTACAGCCCGACTGGTGAAGCACTGACTTTAGGTGTCTGTCCAACTCCCTCTTGAAGACAACCAGGAGTCTTTTGGTAATACCCCTTATGTATGCTGGGAGGCAGCTGAACAGTCTTGGGCCCTGACACTTATTGTGTTGTCTCCTAGCATACTCATGATGCCACTGCTTTTTATTGGGGAATGTTGCACAGCCTGCTGAGTCTTTTGCTTTCTTGTGTAGATTTGGGATTAGTCCCTCTAGTTTTTCCAAGTGTATGTTATCATATTATCTTGCTTGTGTTCCAAGGAGTACTGGTCAAGGGTCTTCAGCTGTTTCCAATTTAAGGTATTATACATGCAGTGAAAGTTTTTGGGTATATCTCCAGGTCTGCAATTTCACCTGCCTTGAAAGGGGTCGTTAGTGTCCAGCAATTTCCAGCCTAGAAAGAACAAACTATTTGAAGAAAATCATTATGGGCTTGGTATCCCTAGTTTTTGATGGTTCTCATCATTATCCAATACGTAAAATTTAAATTTTTTTAGGGAGATATGGTAGACACATTGTTGGATCTTGAAAGTGAGATTCTAAGACATTACCACTCCCAGGTCTTTTACATTAGTTTTTTCGCTCTATTTTTGTGATTGGAATTTATATTTTGTTTTTTAATCTACAAATAAAGGCTATTTTATTATTCTACAGATGATTGGTTGCAGAGGTTGACAGTCAATTATCTAAGAATTAAAGTGAACTGTCAACGAATCTAATGAAGCTAAGAACTTATTAAAGTGAACTTCAAAATTTTAAATGAGCTATCACGTCATTTAAGTGAAATAATTAAAGTGAACTCTCAAACAAGAACTCATAAAACTTTAATGGAAGCTGGACACTGAGAATATTAAAATGACTGAAGGGCAGTGTGTTATGAGATCCATTATACTGCTTATGGTTGTTCTTGTCCTGGTTAGCAGTATGTTCTATATGTTCTTCAGTAATGGAAGACCCTTACAGGTGAGTCATTATCTCATATAATTTTTTCTTATTAATTACCTATTTGTAGCAAAAAGCAATTGAGTAAAATGATGGTGAATGAGTTTCCTCTTTTTTTGGGTCACCGGTTTTTTTAAAGTAGATGTAAGATACCCGGTATTGCATAACCCCAGCCCCGTACCCCCCACAGACAATAAGAATAGTGCAGAGTGCGGCACAATTTTTCCAATGCAGTTAAATATTAGTATTGAAGATTTAAACCCAACCAGAAGATGCACTAACAAGTTATCACATGGATAAATAATATCACAATATTTTCAACAGAAACTGCAAGACAGGGCAAACAAAACCCTCTAACTGTTTAATGCCTTCCTCTAAGAAACACCAGCATTGAAGCCAAACTGAAGCGGCTTCCTCTTGATATCTCAGAGTTCAATAGCTGTAAATTTTGCACCCTTGACCCATGGTGTGGGCGATAGTTACCTCTGACCCATATGTGTGTTGTCTACCACCCACACCATGGTATGGGTAGCCACCACACACACGTGGGCATGTGGTGACCACCATACATATCCGGAGTTTACTTGGAGGGTGTTCTGGGGACAACACCCCCCCGGCCCCCAGTCATAACCAGGCCTGAAGGTGGATCAGGGCAGATGAACTAGCTGTTACTGTTGGCCGCACCCAAACCAACGGTCCGGTACTGACTTTAGGTGCCTGTCCAGTGCCTTCTTGAAGACAGCCAGGGGTCTATTTGTAACCCCCCCCTTTTGTATGCTGAGAGACAGTTTAACAGTCTTGGGCCCCTGACACTTTTTGTACTCTCTTAGTGTACTCGTGGCACCCTTACTTTCCATTGGGGGGGGATGCTGCTTCTCCTGCCCATCTTTTGCTTTCATAGGGAGTGATTTTCGTGTGCAAATTTGAGACTATTTTCCTCTAGATTTTCCAAGTGTATATTATCATGCATCTTTCTCGCCTGAGTTCCAGAGTACAAATCAAGGAATTTCAACCATTCCCAGTAATTTAGGTGCTTTATCATATTTTATACATGTAGTAAAAGTTCTCTATATATTCTCCGGGTTTTTGCAATTTCCCTGCTTGGAAAGGGACCGTTAGTGTGCAGGAACTTTCCCAGCCTAGGACAGAATTTGCACATTTTTGATTTCTGTTTGCTGGGATATTTTTTTTTTGGGTTGTAGTTGTGGCTTTGGGGTGTGGCTGTGGGTTTGTGGCAATTATCATCCACACCATGAGTATGTGGTACACAAACTAACTTACAAAATATCCTGGTCATAAGAGCCATCAGTTATTAAATGTTAAAATTGTCTGAAGAGGTTAGACTCAAATATATATAATGTAAGTTTATTTAGGTACAGGTAGGCATAAATACAGGTGCACATGTTGTCATATACAGTAGCATATTTAATTTTATCCACCAAGATACCCAAAGAAAATCAGAGTGAGTTATTTCCATTGATTAAAAAATTTCCACACTATTTCACCCCTAAAAAATGGAAGTGGTTCACCTAGACACTTAACTTTCTCCTGTAGTCAAATTAAGAAGTAATTTTTTTTTAACAATTTAGCTGTGACACTAAGGCTTTTGGAAGTTATCAGAGCCATTCCAGGATGCTGGGGATGGGTTCAGTAACTTTGGTCCACAGAGAACTTGATAGGTAAGACCCTGTGCAACAGTTGGGTGTCTTTAGTGTTGAAACGTTTTTGCCTACACAGTAGGCTTTTTCAGTCAAATACAAAAGCAGCAGGTGTAGTAGTGAAATGAAGATGATGTAATCAGTCCATCAACCTTGGGAAATAGATTCTAGGTGGTCAGTCCTTTAGTTCCGTGAAGCTGAACTCTTCTCCAGGCTGAGGACTGACCATCTCAAATACTTTTTCTCCAAGGTTGATGGACTAATTACATCATCTTTATTTCACTACTAACACCTGCTGCCTCTGTTTTGACTGAAGAAGCCTACTGTGTAGGCAAAACATTTCAACACAAAAAACACCCAATGCTGTACATGTGACTTACTTATCAACTTGTCTGTGTTTTTTAAAATATTTTCAAGATAGGGAGCTTTTCCCTACCACCTAGTGGGTGGAACTTTGAAACTGATCAGATAAGGACTTCTCGTGTTATGAGGGAAATAAGAACGAAAAGTACCTGGAGTAAACCTGGAGGGTATTCCAGGGGTCAACGCCCCTGCGGCCCAGTCCATGACCAGGCCAATTTGTAAGGCAAAAATCAGGCAACCCCTTAAAGATTTTCTTCAGGAACAAACTAAAGAGTAAGAGAACTTAATACCGGTGGAGTCCACTTTGAAGTACTTATTTTATATATTTTTATTTCTTATTCTAATAGTAACCGTATGATCCATAAAGGTTTTAATGCTCACTAAGTAGCATAATAATGGCATCAAGTCATACCTGCTAGTGAAAGTAATTGTGTATGAAATTTGCAAATTTAAACTGTAGATAAAATTAACATTTATTATTAAACTTTAAACAAAACGCTAAACTATCTAGACGAGTACAAATAGAAAGCGCATCTGTCTTGCTCTCAGTAGACAGAGGATCAAGCCTTCACCACGTTTGTCTTGCTCTGGATGGCCCACATGGGTTTAGCACTTAACATTAAGAAATATCGCAGAGAGCTAAACCCAGCAGGCCATTCAGCACTAAGAGTTAACTTAAAATATAACTTCGCATGAAGTCTAGTAATAATGAACATTGACAACAATTTTACTTTCCTTTTTTCAGGTTGGGTCAAGGATGGAGAGAGACTTATGGTACAGGTTATCAGGTCCTGTATCAGCCAGGGACCCACACCTGCTGGAAGTCCTTAGGAGAGACTTCTTAGTCCCTCCCTCTCTCTTACCTTACAATTTCTCCAACAGTCTTCAAGATCAGATAGGCAAACAAGATTTCACGTGGCCTTGGATACACAGGCATCTACAAGAAATGTTTGGTGACCAGCGTGGAGGGTTCTTTGTGGAGGCCGGGGCGCTGAACGGTGTTTATCTCTCAAATACACTTTGGCTGGAGACTTCCTTGGAATGGACAGGTCTTCTGGTGGAACCAGACAAGGAAAGCTACAAAGCTCTCAGCTTCAAGCACCGTAAAGCTTGGAGCTCGAACACTTGCCTTTCCTCTGAGCCATACCCAAAGAAAACCATCATAGTTTCCCATTACGTGTTGGAGAGGAACTCGTTTGATAAGGCTTACTGGTGGTCGTTCCGCGGTCACAGTCATGAACTGCGGCAGAGTTACCCAAACAAACTTCACACTGAGAAAACGATGGAGAAAAGCTTTTCGTCTGTTCAGTGCTTCCCTCTGCTCTCCTACCTGTTGGCCCTGAACGTCTCTACTGTTGACCTCCTCTCATTGGACGTTCAAGGCACAGAGGCACTCATCCTGGACTCCTTCTTCAACACCAGCAGCGTCTCCGTCAGGGTCATAGTAGCTGAGGATGAGGAAGGTACGTTCAGTCACTCACACATGGAGAAGATGGGATACATCCTGGTGGCCTCACTGACAGACCACATTTATGTTAAGAAGGAGACCAAATACTCACCAGGGCAGTTGTCAAGGAGTGGATGCCAAAATGAAAAACAGACCGTAAGCCCCCCCCGCTAAAATTTTCCTAGGAAATCAACCGGGGTAC